AAGGCCCACATGAAAACTTCAGAGCTTTCCAATATGGCCAGCTGCATTTGCTCCTATGCCAGCCTCAGCCAGGGATTGGGTTGCTCTGTATCCACCATGACAAAAGAAGTGCAATGTTCACATATGACCACAAAAGCCATGAGGACCTCCACCTAGGCCCAGTCTTGATCTTAGCTTGGCTAGCAAGCGACTTCAGGGAAATAGCCTACAGAATAAAAAAGCAGCAATTTTGTTCATTTTCTTCATAGCAAAACACCTGAAAGTAATAGGATGATTCTAGCAGCTTTTAGAGGCCAGGTGGGTGGGAGGGGTAATTACCAGGGCTCAGTAATAGAAAGATCAAATACATTTGGCTAGAATTCAATGCTTTCCTGTAGGCGTTTGTGGACCCATTGATGAGTTAATGGGGACCCATCAGGGGAACTTCTCTGTAATAAGTGGAACACAGTACATCTAAGCATTCCTGGAGTAAGAATGTGAGGGGAATGGCAACTGTGGCCAAGACAGTGCAGAAGACCCTAACTCCTAGCTTCTCAATATCCCAGATGCAGAATTGAAGACCATGAGATTCCATCTCATCTATGTCTTCATTGTGTCAATAAGCACACTGACACATGGCTGTGGGGCAGAGACAATCTATGGCTTTCATTTGTCTCTTAGGGGACTGTATCCTGAAACCTCTGGATTAGATGCTTCCAAGAATGTCCTTACCTCTAAAGTGAATCTTTCAGTGTAAACTCTATAGTAACACCCATGCTCAGAAAATGTAAAAATGACTGAGATGAAGTGACTTGTCTTAGGCTGCAGAGCTAGCACATAGGCTCAGGTCTCTCAGCTTGGGATCACCCTGTAGTCTGCCATATCACACATGCTCCTGACAAGGTTACCTCAGAAAGCAGGCTGCTCCTAGTGACAGCAGCCGTGCTGGATATAGTCAAGGTCCAGTTGGAAGCAGGGAAGAGTGAAAACTCAAATCTCCATTGTGTGATTCTCCAGCTCGGAACAAAATCCTCACAAGTGGGAGCACAATGGGATCATACCTCCCTCCAGAGGAAAGCCATTTCTCCTTCTAGTCTCACAATAAGTAGCATCAATGCCCTGGTGTGGTTGTGGGGCTCCTTTTCCCTCTCAGACTACATTGGCTTCCCTGTTGCACCTCCATAGAATGCTGCACACCTCCTCCAAAGCTCTTATCAGAATTCTAGTTAATTTTCAATGTCTGTAAGCTTCTCTCGCTTCTTTTTCCCAATATGAGGAGGAGCAGGCCCTTTGAGGGCCATGACTGGATCTGACCAGTTTATTTCCATACCCTCAGGCCCTAATGCAGTGTTGGTACACAGCAAGTGCTCAGGGTGGTCCTTAGTACTATTTATCAGCTATCTGTGACTTTTGACACTCAAGAAAAGTACTAAGATACAGGCTTCTAGTGATAATTAGGAAGTGAGAGTGAGATATCAACTTTTATTTAAAATGAGCCACTCAGATTGTGGAGCAGTGCTTATTACTACAATATAAACTGAAATCGCTGAACTGATACCAGGATCAAAGAAGAGTGCATATTTTTTATATTGACTTGTATACAAAAGCTAAAACTAATAAGAATACAGAACCTCTGAAAACCATAAATAGTACGGATGGCTTTCTAGAAAGAGATATGCAAGTGAAATACAAAATGACACCTAAAACCATGTGAACTATTCTGCAAAGAAACATGTAAGGATGATTGCTAATGTCAAACACTGCTAGGATCAAACTCAAGATCAACACAGTAAAGAATGGGACTTTAGGTATGAGCAGTAGAGTGCTTGTCTAAAACATGAAAGACCCTGTTTCTGGTCCCCACTATCACAAAATACATAGATAGATAGATAGATAGATAGATAGATAGATAGATAGATAGATAGATACATAGATACATAGATACATAGATACATAGATACATAGATACATAGATACATAGATACATAGAAAGATACATAGATACATAGATACATAAATACATAGATACATAGATAGATACATAGATAGATACATAGATACATAGATACATAGATAGATGATTGGTTTATGTAAAGGAAAGAAAAGAAATGGAGAACAATCCAGAAAGGTTAGTTGATTGCTATGTTCTGGTTAAGGAGTAATGTCAACTACCAGAGACAATGTGATAGAGTAGAAAAACAGTAAAAATGCAACAAGTACATTGGTGGTAATGGCTAGGACAGACAAACATTTTACAGGCTGGGTGAAGGTGACATGGCATACATTTTCCTGTAAAAAAGTTTTGCTGAAAATTTTGGCTGTAAATAAATTTGGCTTTTGGAACTTTTTTCTGCTAATAAAAAAATCAATGTTGTGCCTAAAATTTGTTAATGTGTAGTTATTTATTTTTTTTACCAGACATAAGAGTGGCAGCATTTTGATTGTTTTGTTTCTTTGGTGGTTTTTTTGTTTTTGTTTTTTTGTTTTTGTTATTGTTTTTTTTGTATTTTAGGGAAGTGTCTACAGGGTGCTCAGGATCTCACTACTAGATTGGACTCATGGTGATCCACCTGTTTACAGTCTCCCAAGAGCTGGGATTACAGGTGCGTGACACCACACCCAGTCTCTAGCATTTGAGACAGAGCTGGAACATTTAGGTGGAACTAAGAATCAACCATAGTGACCAGAGGATTGGCTGGAAAGCAAAGTCAATGGGAAGGACAAAAGGGTAGCATCTGGAGCTGGAAGATAGAGTTTTCAGAGGGAGAAACTACTGTAGCTTGACTGAGAAAGCAAGAGCCTGTGACCTACTCTGCCACCAACTGACTGTGACTGGGCTCAAGCCAATACCTTTCCCCGTGTTTGCATTGAGAAATTGATATTGAGACCTGAGTGTCCTCATCAATTACTGTTGTCCATTGTAAGAATTTTTGCCTTTGTTAAGGTTAATGTTTAGAAAGAGTCAAGGCAAACTATAAGCAGAAAGTCAAGAAGAGAGGCAGAGGAGCCAGTAGCTCAACGTACAAACACTGTGGGGCAAGGGCAGCTTCAGGTCAGTAGAGTTTCCTTTTTCACATCCATGTTAATGGGAAAAATAATAGCAGTATGTGAAACCTATAGCACACAGAGTTCGACTATATCCTAAGTGCTTTCCATGCAGAATCTCTTACGAACTTATGGGGAAGGGTGCTATTAGGATCCCTGTTTTATTGACGAAGAAACAAATGTTCAAAGGGGTTGCCACAGAACTTATATACAATAAGGCTCACATACTAACAGGTGAGATGCTGATTCAGAAGCTATACATCTTGGCCACACACCTATGGTTAGGACTGTCATGAAAAAGTATACTCTTAGAGTAAGCAGCATGGACACACAAGCAAGTGTACGAAGTGTGTATCCCTGGCCAAAAGATAGGACTATTTAATGTGCTCCCAGTACCACCAGCCATCTTCCCAAGCCCTGCCCTGACCACTGCCCCAGCCCTCTCCTGCCTTCAGGCTTGCATCACACAAGTGGAGAACATTGATTCTGGGCTTAGTTCCCAGAAGGGCCCAGGGTTGCAGCCCCAGTAAGCTTCAGCCAAGAACAGTCACTCATAAAACCTACTAAGGATGATGCAGAAAGGAGGACCCATGCATTTGAGGACTATTTTGATTATGAGGGGACAGTGCAAGGATTAGTTCACTCTCTACCTACAGTCTTCATGTCGACTCCAGATTGTACGCCACAAGTGCTGGTTCTGGGGATGGGACTGGAGAGAGATCAGGTAGAGGAGATGGGCTCTGCCTTTCTTAGAACATTCCTGAGCAAATTTATGAGTTATTCAGCCAGAAAGGATGACTTCCTGAAGACACTTCAAGCTCCTCACTCAGTCTGTTTTTGGATGACATCCACAAGGAAATGTTCCTGCCCTCTACACCTTTAATTTGTTTGCCTCCAGGCATTCTACAAAGAGCAGGCTTGGGTTCAAAGTTAAGAGGCAATCAGAGAGTGTAAAATACAGGATCTGAGAATGGCTCTGTGCCAGTTACAGAAAGATTTAGGGATGCTGCTGGCTCTTGGCAGAAGAACATAATATGCCAGGAAGAGAAAGCAAGTAAAAAAGGGACTTGGATTTTAAAAATTCTGATGAGTGAAGCTTTTCCCAAGCATCAGCTATATGTGTCATTTCTCACATCATTGTGTTTCCAAGGAAACTGGGTGAACAGAGACTTAAGAAGAGGTTGTTCTTAAAATATTCCGTCAGGAGTGGTTTTTGCCCTCACATGGCCTTTGACACATAGATAATGTGGACTGTACTTGTACTTTCCCAAATGCCTTCAACTAAGGTCTGTAGTCTCTATTGTCTGAGTTCAAAGGCTGATCAGGAGTAAGTCAGGCTGGGAAATACTGTCCCCTTTTTTACACATGCAATTTGTATTGACCAAAATTCCAGTCAAGAACAATTGTTACTGTTGGGTGCTTGACTGCAAGTGAGGGTAGGTATATAAATATTCTGCCAGCCTACTCCTTTGGCCTGACCTTTCCAAAACTACTGTAATGGTTGGTGCATTGTGCCACCTTGACAAGTTTAGAAGCTTAATTGCCTCATCAAGTGGCAAAGTCTTCACTTTGTAAACATCCTCGGTCTGTGCAAGAGGTGGGCAGAGAAGGTATGAGTGCTACCCTCATGGTATGGCAGGTATCCTGCTCACAATGTAAGAAAGGAAAGTAGCTTGCTCTGCCCTCTCCTTTTGCTCTTCCTGCTTTCACTGTCTGCTGTCACCTTGAACCACTCCCCCTCACCTTGCCAGCCTGCCTTGGAGCCACCTGGTAACAGACTGAAGCCTCCACAAACTGTGAGCTGAATAAACCTTTCCTCTTTAACTTTGGATGTTGGGCATTTTGTCACAGCAATGAGAGACAAGTATCTAAGACAGCTAGTACCACCTCTTGAGCAACACAGGAAGTAGGAAGAGGCCATAGCACTTCAGACAAAATAAAGTAACCATGACATGTTAAGGCTTCAGGCTATGGCCATGGCCGGAGCCGAGGCGGCTGGCGGGGCTGCGCCCGGCAGCCACCTGCAAGAGCCCGCGTAGCGTCCCCGGGGGCCCGCGTCCCGG